TAGACGTGTTTCTTATAGTGTGCTATAATAATGTTATATTTTTGTTTACAAAGTGTCTGGGGGAGTTCATATTAATTAATATTCAAATATTTCATGGGTAGAAAACAATGCCATGTCTTGTGGGGTGTGGGCTCTGAAAACAAAGAAAGAAAAAGGAGGAGGAGAAAGCGAGGGGACTGCATTTCCACCAAGTAGAACAATACTTTGGAAATGGATATTGTCACCTCTCCTTTCCTAATCCTGCTTGCCTTTGACGGGGACTGTTTTGGTTTGTCCTCAAGTGTTCGTGGAATAACCCTTAACATCATGAATTTGCAAATACGACCCATTTTATAGCCTTAAACGAACAAAATAAGTAAAAGGAAAATGTTAGCAGTACACTTATTTTAACTATACCTCTAGAAGGGCGTTTGGGGTAGTTTTCTCAAAGTGTATATTCTTTTTCAAAATTATGATATTTAGTTTAAAAATTATTAGTAATATTTTAAGAATTAATAAATAGCATACAAATTTTTAATTATTTATGTGACCTTTTAAAGATTCTGTTTAGTTTGACACAAGTATTAGTTTTCTTGAATTCTCTACGTGGCCATTTTTATAAATTTTAAAAATTATCTTTTGAATTTTGATAAATTAAGAACTTTAGATCACGAAAAAAGGATCAATCAACTAATTCTTTATTTAGATATGAAATGTCAACAATATTTTAGAAAATAAGTGTTACCTTTCTCTTTTTTTAGCAAATTAACATGAACTAAAAAACAGGAATTAATAGTAGTTGAAAAAATGAGGTACTAAAAATTCTTTATATTTTCTTTCAAACAAAATTCCATCTATTTTTACCCTTACGTTCGCTGTGACAAAAGCCTGTGCAGAATGTAAGATTGGTAATCCTAGTCGGAGAGTGAGAAACTATAGTCTTCCCCTTTAGAGATTTATTAGTCCCCGCGGAGTAATCAATGAACTTATGAGAATATATATATATATATATATATATATATAAACTTCGGCTGTGTCATATATATCAAACGAACTCCTGTCGCCCGAACCCAAAGCAAACATGTTTTTTAGGATTATGATGTTCTGCAGTTATTAGAGAGAAAAAAAAAAATGGAGACTCAAAATTTATAATTTTGAACTATATTAAGTACTAAATATTAAATACTTTAGCTAGGGATATACTCATTTCCTACCCAAATTCTTTTCTTTAAATTAAAGAAAATCCCTTTCTTGGTACTTAATTTATTAATTTGTACGTCCTATATGACCATCAATTAATATAAATGATATTTGGTGGTTGACAGGGACTTCAGGTGCAAGTATTTGAGCAGCTGATTCACTCCACCTTGCAGATGACGACCAGTTGCCTGCGAAATGTCTTTTATAGAGTGTTTTCTCTGTTGTTTACTTCCTTATTTTCTTTCTTTTTGAATGCCATTTCTTTGGGTTAATAGGAAGGGATCGAACTAAGTCCCTCAGAGAGACAGGAAAATAATATCACTACCAGAGAAATCCCAAAACTTAAAGTATATTGTATTTCAGAAGTTTATTTTGAATTTCTTCCTTCAAAAATAAAGAGACAATCAGAAGAGGGATTGAATTGATCTCTTGAATTTACCACATTCATGTACCTCAGTTTCAGTCTCCCAATTGAAGTTAAATCCATGTTTTGCCCCTGTTTTATGCTGAAACTTTTATTGCAGTTAAAAGGCCATCACGTATTGGAGTAATGGACATTAATTGAATGATATGATTGATAAAATTCGTTAAGATATAGACATCAAAATAAATATTGTTATAGAATGGGAGCCCAATGAACATTTGGTATGGCATAGAGGTCAAAATAGTTGAAGATGACATTTGGTGTGACTTGATTAGTTGCAATAGAAACACTTTCAAACCTCCAGCCAAACATTACGTTCTCTGTGCTATGAAAATTATCATTTTGATCATTTTACTTTGAATATAATTAAATTTATCATTCTAATGTATAAATATTAATTAAATATTTAATTTAACTAAATTTCTTAATACATATGTATATATTTCCAAACAAACATTTTAATATTATAGAATGAAATATGAATATTTTCACATTATAGGAAAATGGCTTTAAATTATTTTAAGACAAAAAAAGGCAGTACTAATAGAGCAATTTTTCTTATGGTTTGGGTATAAAAAGCAGGAACACTGAATTTTGTGCATTTATTATACATGGGTTTAAAAAAATACAAATTAGGAAGAAACAAAGAAACATGAGTGCATATCGAAGCTAGAAAGCCGTTGATCCAACGTAGTTAGACTGAGACATGCTGTTTTCCTACTCGCGTGATCCAAGGGCTCCCTTTTGCCCTGCCGTTGTCGGTGAATCTGCGCTTCCAAGCAAAGCTGGTGTTTGTTTCTTGGGAGATTAGGAACCCCTCTCGCTCGTGGGAAGCCAACGGAAATGAGATTTTCCCACCGATTTTCCTGTCCGGGAAAATAGCGGGGGTAGTTGAGGGGGGTTGCACAGTCAAGATTAATGAGTAAAAGAAGTACGATATTAACAGCCCCATCACCAAAGACGCCGCAACAGAAGCAACCCCACCGCTGACGCAGTGCGCACGTGAACTCAATATTGTTTTGACTCCTTCCCTACCTTCCACGCACACATCTACTCTCTCATACTCGCACGTGTGCCCGTATTGTGTAAATATATAAAGAAACAATATGACACGCCCGTCGGATCCGATCGGAATACTCGAAGAATTTTTATTAAAAAATGTACATAATACAAACTTTAAGATTTAAACAAAAAATAAAAATGACACAAAAAGAAAGTATCTGCTCTCAAGTTTCAAGAGTTGTCTTAGTGGATATGGATCATTTTTTATCTCCAATAAATTTGTAGACTCTCTTTGAAAATTTAATCTCTTTTAATATTTAAATAATTAAATTTTCAGAATGAAAGGAGAAAAAAAGGAAAAAGTTATTGATTCTTTATCTGTCTTCCATATATGCTTTCAGTTAATATAAGTTGGCCATTTTCTGAAATGTTACTTTTTTGTGAAATGGACAAACTCAAATCTCATGCCGGTCACCTCCAATGTCCCTTATCTCTCTCTGCTTCCTCTTTCTCTCTCCCCTTCACGTGTGTGAGTATATTATACACATACACGACACATGGAGAGAGAATTGAACAAGGAGCCCAGTTGGTCACCCGCTACTTGCTGATGCTGTCTCTCCGTAACTCCTGACTTCGAGTTTGCTGTTGCTTCTCTCTCTCTCTCTCTCTGCCCTTCATTTCATGGTTTTGAATGCGATGAGGTCAATTTTACCCTACGCTTGCGGCACTCGGACAGGGTTGTGTTTGTTTAGGCAATTCCTCTTTCTTTTTCCGTGACCCATGCTCTCTATTAAATATTAATCACCCTGCTTTCTTTGTGGTATTGGCCTGGGGACGCGTGGGCATGCTCTATCGGGATTAGATCACTTTTCGTGATATCTTGACAATTGGCTTGTCGTGTCGAACATGCTCTAAGAGCACAGGTAAAATAGTCAATCTGATCCCCGGAAAATTCATACTCAAACAAACTAGGGTGCCCGACGCCGCCAGCCGGGTCCTCTCGGTTTGTTGAGTCTTGCAAGTAAGAAAAACCAATTTTTCCACAAAAAAAAAAAAAAAAGAAGAGGATGGCTCCAGGCTTCATCTCATGAAATTATTAATAATAAATTTGAAATAGAGCCCAAGAACGGAAAGTATGTTCGATATTTAAAAAGTCAAGGATTTTTGCGAGATTTTCAGATTAGTTTCTAATTTTTTTATTTTTACAGTTAAAAAGTCAAACTTATACAAACAATATATTTTAGATTAGAATTACTTTTTTTTAACAAAAGTTTGTCATGAAAAAAACCAATTTAAATAGGCCTTAAACAGATAAAAATTCTAAATTTTTAAATATCTGATAGCCAGTTACATTTGGCCAGTGATGAAATATAAAAGTTCCAACAAGTCAGTAACTTTTTTTTTAAATCAAATGCTCCGCCCAAGTGTAATTGATAGTGAGTGTGCACCCATTAGCACAATACACTTGACAATTCTTAAATTTATGAAAAGTAAGCCTACACATTTATTTTCATATGCATCTAATAAATACTAAATACTGGGTGTTTTGTTACAATGAGTATACAACTAACATGAAATTTTCTCCGCTTGATATGTTTTGCATAGGTGATCATTTTAACCCACCTAAAAATGCGAAGACCCTCCTAGCCACAAGGGATAATAAAAAAAGGCCTGAAAACTTGTGTTCCTTAAATAGTACACATACTGTAACTATTTAATTAAATAGTACAAACACAAAATTTTTGACAATGGTTCTTTGCCTCGACACTAGATGGTTTAGCAGCGTGCCTTTGAGTAGCTATGGGCTTGCGTTGATAGTTTGCAAAAGTGATCATTGTGCCAAATCCACTTGAACAGTGAACGAGAGCATAATCAACTTGAATAGATGCATTCTCAAACATGGCGAAAATCAAAGTTTTTGAAGAAAGGGAAGGAATACAAACTCATATTTCCACTTCACAAAATCCCAACTATACAAAGAAATTAGAAAAATAAAAGCCCTCTGTCGTAGTAACATCAACAATGGAAACTTTCCATCTAAAGAAAACAAGATATATTTGATATTGCATAATGGAATTGCCTTCTTAGAAGGCTTCAACACATCTCCCAAAGCCTAAAATTCAAAGACATTGCCCTACAAACGATGCCTTGTTAACTTGTATTTATAGGAAGTTGTCTGACCAAACTGGCGTCCATTATCCACAATTCCTGAATAATCGCTACAAAAGGAAGTCTGAATGGAAAATTTACAGAATGACAAATCATCAGGAAATCTCACAGTTAAGGGCTTTTTCTTGAAGAAGAGCGGAAGGAGTCAGCATACGTGGAAGAAGCAGTCATGGAGCTGTACATTTAAGAATAGAGTCCTTGCTTTTTTTCTTTTTCTTTCTCCCCTCTACATCACTATGTTGTCACTGTTTGAATCCATTAGAATTGTCAACCTCTTTGCTGTCTTCATGAAGTCACTGCAAGGAGAATGTGATAAACCTAAATCAGACCATCCTCTTTTAACAGATTACACCAATGAAAATTTAAATTATAACAGAAGCTGGGGTTAAGAGCAGATCAAACAAAAACTCTACCTGAATGGTTCATCTCCAATCTGCTTGACAGAACCATTCACATCCTTGTAAAGCACATGGGTCAGCATCTCAGAACTTTCAATTCCGAACATGTTTGCCAGCTTTCTGTACAATTCTTCGTAAGATCCAAGCACCGAAAGATCAAGAGTGCGACCAACATCCTCTGATTCCATGAAGACCTTACAATGGCCAGTCTCTAAGCCTGCCTCCGTGTCATGGTGATTATCTTTGTACCATTGAAGCCCTCTGCAGGATAAGCGCTCTGCTGGCAGGAGTGCAGATCCTGGGCCATCAGAAACATTTGCTATCTTATCTGCATTCCCATCGGAAGAATTATTTCCAGTACAAATAGGAGAAATTGTATCCCCGGAGCAGCTGAGAGAAATCTGTTGCTCTGTGAGTATTGGTTGACCAAAAAGCACAAATTGGGTTCCTTTTGCATTGTCTGGTTTTTTTTAAATTCTGGTTAGGATTATTCATGGCTAGTAAGCAAGAAACATTCTCACTGGTGCCATGCTTGTGGGTGATTGGATGACTGGGTCGTCTAATGGGTATGGTAACATTATCAAAAGTTGGGAAAGTGGCTGCAAAAAGACCTGAGTGAAAATTGTTGAGGTGGAAATCTGATAAGGATAAACCATATTGAGCATGCCTGGCTCCCTGCATGCCGGCAGGAGCATTGTCTGATAGACAATTGAAGGGCTGGTAGGCCCAAGTAGATTGCTGGAAAATGTTGGCATTGGAATTTGGCCTTCAAGAGTGAAGTCTGGGTGTTGTGGTAGTCTCAACTTCTTCCTTGGAGGAGAGAATGGAGATAGATGAATGGCAGGCATGTTTGAGACCAATTCCACCAGCCATGGGCTAACATGTTTGACATTTTGAAGCAAATCAGGCTCGTCCCATGTCACCTGCAAAAGACTAGTCAATCAAATAAGAAACAGCACAATTATAAAATTGCCCAAATCAACAGAATCTTCATGTAACTTCAGCAAGAATTACTTGTTGGTGGTTTAACTTGCAAATCAAAATTTTCTTCTGGCAACCATGAATCTAAATCAAAGAAATATCTTAAAAGTCATTGAAAGATGCAAAAGAAATTTGGTGAAATGCACAATTCATTCTATTGATTTAGAACTGCTAATAGATTTCACTTCTGTAACATTTCTTATAAAAATTCTCTCATCAATCCAGAAGTTCAGTATTCTGGCCTGCTTCCAAGAGATCCAGTCTGTCATCCCTACTGTTACATTTTTTGTAAGCAATGCCAAAACAGCAGCATATGATGCAATCTGAAGCATGAGCAAAAATGCCACTAGAAGCTATAGCTCTATTGCAACAAGTAGGAACGAGATTGCACTGAAGGTGGCTCTTATGATTCATGTATTTATTGAAATGCAACTTATTAGGAAATTCAGCTAGAAGCAGAATAAGTAAGCAAGGCACACTATTCATCAGAGAGAAAACACTATTGAACGATAAAATATAATTACACTAGCCAACTACGCAATAGAACATCACAACATTTCACGATAAAAAGAAATTCAACAGATGATGCAAATATCCAGGGGGAAAAAGGAATGGTAGTAACATAGAGAAGGAAAAAAGTTGACCTTATAGTAATCATGTACTAATGACCCACACTCCGAAAACATTATGCAGACCTGAGATTCTATTTGAGTACCTGGAGAAGTCGCCAAGGTGAATCAGGCCAGCAAATGGGATCAGCAACCTGAACTGTAGATATGGTTCCCATAAACCAGCTAATCCGTGAAGAATCCTCAGTTTCAAAGGCCATCTTGAACCTCATGCCTGAGCACCAGCGAATCTGCATAGCTGCCTTTACAAGTGACTCTTTCACACAAAACTCTGGAGTACTAGCCCGAGGATAGTAAACAACTTCAAAGGGTTGTCCACTGGCCACCAGGGTTGCAGATTCAGTTACTGATTCTGGCCTCACTTTTACCCTGCCTGGCAAGTTTCCATTACCATTTGAACTGCCACCATTACCATTTCTCAGTAATTTATTCTCATCTTCTCTTAGAAAGGCTGAAAACCCTCCATATGGCATGACACAATTTCCACCAGCAGGATTCCACCCAGATGATGATTCAGGTCCACCTCCAATTCCCCTCTTCGCCCTTCGGATTCCAACACAAAGATCTCCATTTTCTGCTCTTAGGAAAACAATTGAATCCCCTGCAACAAGCTTTTTGTGGTTCACAAAAGTGCTCCATCCAGTTGTCAAAAGATGGCGCCTAGGCGTTCCCCTGTAAATATGACGAAATTTCCATGTTTCTCCATGAACATCCTTTGCAAGGATAGTCTGCACTGGAGGATCAGCAGAGTAGTCCAATCGCGGAAAGATTGTCTCTGCACAATAACGTGGAACTGAAAATCCTCCACCATTATTAGCATCTGACTGTGTCAATGTCTTGGCAAATGAAGTGGGTTTATCTTGGGCATCAGATGCATTAATTCCCCCAACTCTATCATCTTCACAATTAGCATCTCTGCTACTATTAAGTGGAATCAACCAAATTTTTGCATAAACCTCATCTGTCTCAGGGTCAGCCATGAATTTAATAGCAGTAACTCTACAAGAAATGTAAGGAGGAATCCTTGGGCAATTCCTAAAATCAACATGTCCACATGCATGCTCAGCATGCCCTTGTGGAAAGTAGTAGACTTTTGAATTTACAGGTGGCATTTGCACCATACTACCCGCACAGGCATGCCATAATTGAGAATCTAAGCATCTCTCAGTTTCATTCATTTTGTCTTTGGATTCTATAAATGTAATCATTGCATTCAAAGATTATTTGCAAGAACACTCAAGCAAGCCCAGTTCACAGAAAACCACTTCTGCAGATGACGGCTAGCTGGAAAGCAAAATCTGGAAGCAGATGGGCAACAAAATTTTAGGGAAGATTTCGATACTACCTGAAATAAAACGAAACATCCAACAAAATTACAATAATAATAAAAAATAAACTCCATCAATATCAATATTTCGTACCTCCCTCTGCTCCTCGAAGACCTGACGAGTATTTATCCAAATAGAGTTGAAAATTGGTCTCCCTGAACACATAGAAGAGATGAATTTTCTTAATCTCCCTTTGAAATCTCTCAGGAAAGCCCTAATAATGCACATAAATTTTCAGAGAAGATCTTCTACAGCCTCCGGAAAAAGAAACCGAATTCGGACCTTTCAACTGCCCTGAAAATTGTCAAAATTAAATTCAATCTGAGAAGCTTCATTTTCTTCAATTGAACAGCTTCGAGTTCTCTCACAATCATTGCAGGTGCAACCTAAAAGCCCTAAATGAACTCCTAACCAACCACTTAACTGGCTCAAAGCCACAGTATGCTTCAAGAATCCAAACGGAACCGCTCCACCATAGCCCCCACACCCCGAATCCACTGTAAATCGTGGAAACAAGCCCCTTCAATTCACCTAGTTTTAATAAGATCTACACAGTATAACAAATCGGTCAAACAATACATAGCAAAATCCGTACTCTGTCTCTATTCGTAACTAACTCCACACGGAATCTCCACTATCCCCTCCACCAAATTCACAACCAAACTAACAGCAGAACCAAAACTTGGTCCTCTCCTCTCCCGTCATACGATCAAGAAGAACGAAGTGGACGAGCGACACGCCATAGCAGCACCAGACAAAGCCTTTTATTCACACAGACGAGAGACTCCACCACGCACTCACCGCAGCAACCGAATATTTCTTTAAAAAAAAATCATTGAATCAATGCTCCACGCTCCTTTGGATCACTACAAAACAGCTTACAGATATGCATATACAAATACAAGTATCTATACCCGTATATACAGGTGATAAAGTGCTCTTAGTAACATGTATCTGTTTATATTGCATATACATATATGTTTGTATATATTTTACTATCTGATGTTTCTTCCTTACCTTTTTCTTCGGATCTGAAGAAGCTCTGTTGTACTTTGAGAAGCCAGCAAAACAACAAAGATCTTAAAGCAAGCAATCCATTTCCCCTGCAATATTATTTCATTATTCATTAAAATACTCATTTATTTATTCTCTTTCTTAATCGCGCTCATTAGTTTATTGAACGTATCGCGAGATTTTGAGGGGAGAGAGAGAGAGAGAGAGAGGCTCGTGCTGAGCTGCCGAGTGGTGATGTGCTAACTGGGTGATGCTTTAAGCCTTCAACTCTGGTTAAGAGGAGCTACACGCTGCATTTGACTGGGGTTAACTAACCGGACTTGCGGGTTTACAGTTTACTAACCGATTTTCCTTTCTCTTTGCAAGAGAAAACCCACCACTCTCTTATGCGGCGCGTAGCATCACGCGCCCGCAATGCATAAAATTCTGGGAAATGAAAAATGAACCCCGAATTGGCGGTGGAAAAATTTAGTTTGGTCCGTCCAGTGTAAGCCAATTATAAAATTATCTATATAATTTTAATATTTTGTAATTTTATTTTTTTAAATAAATTTTTGATAATTTTTTTGTCAAAATATTTAAATTATGTGTATAAAGATTAATATACTCTTTTTTACATTATAACATGTACCCAAATAAAATATAAAACCAATCATATTTAAAACTTCATTTATATTATATTTAAAACCTAATTTATTTATTTACTATTAAATAAATAATAAATTTTTGTGTAACAATTTTAATAATCTCAAATATTATTAAATCAACAATCAAAGATCAACAATTGATTTCATGGTTGCCAAATTATTCTCTCATCCAAAATCAGTTCTATTTAATTTGAAATAAAGTTTAAATTGAAGACTTTATTTTAATATTTATTTTAGTTTTTAACAAAACTAATTAAAACTAAGTTCAAATAATTAAAAATTATTTTCACAAATTAAAATTTTCAACATTTACAATTTAAAAGTTATATTGAAAAATAATATTACTTAATAAAATGTAATATTTTCTATGAAATAAAATAAAAAATCTCTAATTTTGTTGTGTATAATATCCGTATATTTGAAAAAACAAGGCAATTGAACATGTATAAGTTTGATAATTTTCTGTAAAATAGTGTTATACTATGTCATTTATCATTTATTGATACTCAATAGATAACTATAAATTGAAGTAAAAATAAATTATTAAAAATGTGTTTAATTTTCTAGAGAAAGTCCCTGATCATGATCATTTTCATTCTTATGATTTAAAAGTCAATTGGGGGTTTATGGATTGTGCAAAACCATAAGAAAAGAAGCAAATGAAATGATTAAGCCATCTCTGTATTTTGCCTTCAAGTGTCTGACAATCTCTATGACTAACTATTATTGAGGAAGTTGCATGTATATATTATTTATTTTTCATATAAAATATTACACTTTACTAATTAATATTATTCTTCAATATAACTTTTAAATTATAAGTGTTGGAGTTTTTAATTTGTGGAAATTATTTTTAATTATTTGAACTTGATTTTAATTAGTTTTGTAAAAAGCTAAAATAAAAATTAAAATGAAATCTTAATTTTAAACTCTCTCTCAAATTGAACAGAACTGATTTTGGCGGGGAGAATAATTTGATAACCATGAAATTAATTGTTGATATTTGATTATTGATTTAATAATATTTGAGATTATTAAAATTTGTTATATAAAAAGTTATTATTTATTTAATAGTAAATAAATAAATCAAGTTTTATATGTAATATAAATTAAACTTTAAATATGATTGATTTTATATCTTATTTGAGCATATATTATAATGTAAAAAATTGTATATTAGTCTTTATACATATAATTTAAATATTTTTATAAAAAAAAATTATCAAAAATTTACTAAAATGATGAAATTACAAAATATCAAAATCACATAAATGATTTTGTAATTGAGCATAAACTCGAGAGGGATCAAACTAAATTTCTCCCAAATTGCCCTCAAGTTATTTTAATTTCTTAAATTTGAAGTTGATTTGAGAATAAATATTTTAATAATATCACTTAAAGTAAGTAGTTCAAATACACTAACATGGACGAGAGTTTGGAATCTCAGGTAGTAAAATTTAAAAAATAAATAAATGAAAGAAAATGAGAGTTTCAACTCAACGGATACCACGTGTCCATTTCTTATTGCTTATGTTTTCTAAGCAGTTCTTGGTCCTTATCATTTTGTACCAGATAAAATAGAGAGCCATTTCTAATCTTTAATTCTTTTTTTTAAAAAAAATATTAAATCAAAACTTCAGTCAACCAATTAGAAATCTTAAACCAATTGAAGTGGATCCATATCCTTCGCAAGCTGCGTTAAAATCATTTTCTTCAAGCTAAAAAAGAGGTGTCAAATGACAAGGGATTGACTCACTTATTAAAATAAAATTATGAAAAATTTATAAAAATAACCTTCACCCATGCATAAATTGCTTGCCTTGCCTATTTTGTTCCTTGATTAACTATGCATCAGAAACAGTTGTGCTAGCAGCGTGACATTAAGTCAACCTCTGTGTGCAAATCAAAAAATTTGATTTGGTTTTCAATAATTGAGTTTAGCTTTTTAGCCTTTTGATTTAGCTATTCTAAAATTTAAATTAAATTAAATTGATCATAAACCAATTTGAACCAAGTCTAAGTTTCAGTTTAATTTAATTTTAAAAATTCGCATGAAATGTTTAATTACAATAATTTAAAAGTATTAAAAATTTTATACTTGATTATATTGCCTTAATATCTTAACTTTTTGTTTTATCATCTTTCTATGTAACTATAATAATTTAAAAAGTAATGGACTCTTTTAAAAGAAAAAGTTATAGCTAAATCTCATCAATATTGAGATACCGTTACATATATTTTTTAAAATTTATCTATTAGTATTTTAATTTTTACAGATTATGTTCTTATAAATAACTTAATAATAAACAAAATATTTTAAAGCAAAAAATGATGGCATGATAGACTAGATAATTTAAGATATTGCAATAATTTATATTTGAAAAACATCCAGCTGAGAAAATGATAGTCATAATAAAAAAATATTTTGACATGTATGTATATATGTACATGCATACACACATATATATGTGTAAATATTCATAATATGGTATATAATAAGTCATTTATATAAATAATAAAAGTGCAATGCGAAATTCAAAAATTACATTGACTAATTTCTTTTTAAAATTTAATAAAAATATTTTTATTTTTTCTCACTAAAATCCTAGGAAAATGTTTAAAATTAATTTTGGTACCTAAAAACGCTTCTTGGAAACCTAGCCGAACAACCCCTTTTTATTTTAGAATTAAATTTTGCTTATTTCCACTCCAGATGTGCAATAAAGAGAAACCATTGAAATTTATAGGGTTTTTGTAAAAATAGAGAAAATTTTTCTTGAGAAGAAAATTTTTAGAATTCTTTTTATGGATTGCAATAGTTCGGTTTTAGTTACTGACTGAACCAATTCATAAACTTAAATTATTTTTTTGGCCCAAATCAAACAAACTCAAAATTTAATAAAAATCAAATCAAATGATCTGGGAGGATTTATTTTTGAAAAATTTGGATTTGACTAAATATTTTATTTAAATTATTTTTTTATTTTATTTAATTTTTTAGATCATGTTTAGATTTATTTAATATATAAAATTCAAATTTTCTCAAAAGGGCAAGCTTATACTTTGAAGAGTTTTTAGCATTTAGAAATTCTTCACTTTTTAAGACTTTTTTCTATGAAAAGAAGATTGCTTTCTATTGAAAGGGGAGGGGGAAAAGAAGTCCAAAAATTCAAAATTTAACCAAAATTTTCTGATAAGAAATCAACAAACCCTTTAACT